GCTGCCGCGCCTCCTAAGCGGCGCACTATCCAGTGCGCCACTGGGCCGGCCCCTAGACAGTTTGAATGGATAATATTATGTTGTGGTGTGTATTTTAGTGGAAAAATAATGATGAATTGCATACTTGAAATATGTAGAAAATGGTCTTTTATGCTTAATAAGCAGGTGTGAATGAGATGATTGTAAGGTGGGTGCCCATCTTGCTTTTCCACGTGCAAAATGTCTAAAGATTGTATAATTTATGGCAGAACAAAGCTTTAGATGTAAATGTAAGGACTTATACGTACGCATAATCCTTTATTTCCAAGATGAGGTACTAGGAAGGCTGTAGACTTAAGGTCAGATAAAAATTAGCACTCATATCCAGGCTCTACCATTTACTAGTTATCAAGTGCATTTTTGAATGAAATTTCATGGGAGGTCATAACACCTACCATTATGGAGTAAAAATGAGAGTTAAAATGTAAAAAGAAAGTTTTCCTTTTCCTTCAGGATTTAATTTAAACCCTCAAAACAAAAATGAAGAACTGCTCAATTGACATTTTATACAAGTATAAAATGTTGCATACTTTATGGTGCACCTTCTTAATAATAGTAAGACATCACATTTTTAAAATTCACTATTGTGTTTATTCATGTTGCTGCAGTTTTTATGCTGGAGCAATTAAAAAAATTTTATAGTTGTATGGCATAATGAAGTGGTAATATTAGGAAATAAGCATATCTATTGAAATATAACCTTGATAAGTTATACATATTAGAAATATCTTCAAAGGGACTCAAACAAATCAATAAGTTAAAAAGTAGATTTATATCATCTGTCATTTGGGAAAAAATATTTTTATAACAATTTTTACCTTGGTGATGTGTCATGCTTCAACAAACTGTTAATGCGATTGACTATCCAACTAAAGAGACGTCCATATAAAGTTTTAGCCATGGCGTCTCTGACATCAGTAGCTTTTTCTACAGTATTGGGCCGTATAATTGTTTCTCCTCTAGTGACCACACAGTGGGAGGTGAGAGCTTCTTGTAGCTCATCTGCCTGAATGCAAAGCAAAGAAGCAGCTGAAAAATAAACAGATGTATTGTTAGAAGAAATTATGTCAACGAGCTGACTTCCAGAAAATGAAAATGTCTTAATTCATCTTCTTCAAATGACATGAAATAAACATGTAAATATTTTATAATGTAAAAATAAGCTATTATTCAACATCAGGCCTATGTCTCTTCTTGATCATTTTTCTCTACTTACCTCCACTGGTCAAACTTAGGGCTCTGCAAAATATACAACTCACACCAAACTAGCTGACAGAGTGAAACAGCTGCACAAGTGAGTGGTTGTTTATGTGATGTCAAGCATAATCTCACTGAATTATGCTAAATAATTAAAAATCATAATGAATAGATTTGGTATATTTTGGATACCATTATTATATACACATTTTCAAAATGTAGAAATTTATTGGAAGGTTACTTAGACTTCAGGGATATACCCAAACAAATGTGTTTGAAGTACCTTCTGTAATATACAACTAAAAGAGCATAAACTTATCCTGACATTCAAGTATTTCTTATCATGCTACTTTTTAGTTTCATATTTTAATTACCAAATTCTGTTAATACTTTATGCCTGAACAAACATTTATTTAACATTTAATGATAATTAAATATCATGGGGAATTTAAAATTAATAACACTTAAATCTCAGTGAATAAAACTCATTTTTAAATATAAAATAAACCTCTTAACCAAAGCTATTATGTGACATATAGGCTAATTTTTCAAATCAGTTGTTCTCCTTTCAAAATAATTTAAACATTTTGTGTTTACATTTAGCATTCGTGAGAAGATATTTCTTGTTTATATGACTAAGATAGTTAAACCTTATCTCACACAAAATATTTTTTCACATTGTAAAAGTAATATAGGTTCATTGTAAAAATTTTATATTCAAAATGAACATTTTGCATTTTTTCCCTTCTAGGCATGTTCTGCCGTTATTTCACACCAACATTTTATCTTAATATAACATCTTAAATATTTCTCATTTTGTTGAATATTGTTTGTAAATATGATTTTAATTTGCTGCATAATACTTTGACATATATCATAATATAGCAATAATTTTTTTTTTCCTTTTTGTCTTTTTTTCGTGTCCGGCAACGGATCGCAACCCTCAGTGTCGCGCCCGTACCGGACTGGGACCGGCAACGGGATCACAACCCTCGGTGCTGCGCCCTCACCTTGCTCAGCCAGTGAGCAGGGACCGGTCTGTATGTGGGATCCGAACCCTCGGCGGGAGCGCCACCGCGCTCCCAAGCAACGCACTGTAGCAGTGCGCCACCGGGCCGGCCCTATAGCAATAATTTTTACATTTTTGGTTGTTTAGGTTCTTTTCATATGTTCATAATTGCAAAAAATGCTGGAGTAAATATTTTGGGCATGAATCTGTGTTCATATTTTCTATTAGTTTCTTAGCATAGTTTGCCTAAATTCACCAATTAATTCAAGGTATATAAATATGTTTAAAGCTTTTTGATGCATACTACTTAACTGCCCTTCACAAACCCTGAACCAATTACTTCTATCAGCCAAATGAGAAAACAATAATTTCAATAAAATTTCATGGACATTAGGAATTATCAGTTTTAAAAATGGCCAATTTGATAGAAAAAAAATCTTCTATTTGCTTTTAATTGATTTCTGGTGAAGCTGAACATCTTTCATATTTTTATTGATGATTTGTGGTTCTTATTTTGTAAACTGTCTTTTTCCACTGATATGTTCATCTTTTCCTAATCACTTTGTAAGAGCTCTTTATACTTATAGCTTAAAGGGAACAATGCTTAAATATATGAGTATGTTGCAAATATTTTCCTTCATATTGCTATTTCACTTATTTTTTTAGTACAAAATAACTTCAATTTTTATGTAGTTAAATATCCATTTTTTGAGAAAATCATTTCTTCTTTTGGTTTTCTGCACATAAACTCCTTCGTTTTGTCTCACTTTGGGATTATATAAAGGCATTTCATCCAGTTGTTTTATGATTTGGGGGGATTTAAATTTATATACATTTGAAATTCATTTTCATATATGGTATATAAGAAGGATTCAAATTCCCCCTCCCCCATTTGGTTAGCCAGTTAGTTGTCCCTATAACACTGATTTCCTACTGATTTGTAATGTCATTTTTGGTAATTTTATTTGGATCTATTTCTGAACAATGTCTCCAACTGATCGGTATATCTATTTCGATTCCTACATTGTTTATTCATTTAACATATATTTATTGACTGTCTACTTCATGCCAGGCATTTTACCTGAGAATACATTACTCAGTACAATATGTTGTAAAACAAAGTTCTATTCTTAATGGTCTTTATCCAGAAGGAATGGGAAGCTAATCAAGAAATTTAAGTGGGAAGAGAGAGTGGAGAGGAGGAAGAGGCGGAGAGCGGGAGAGACCACTGATAGATGTATTAAGTGCTTTCTGAATAAACTGTGGAGAATGACATGGAAAAGATCAATTCTTGATGTGGGAGGTCAATTGGGAGGTCACTTAGTTCAGGTGAGAGGTGATGTTGACTTTGATGAGAATGGCGACAATGATCAAAAAGAAAAGTGGTGAGATTTGAGAGATATTTATGGGAAAAATGGACAGAACTGGCGCTTGATTGAAATGATGTACTTGTAAAATCATCTAGGAATGTGGCCTTAGTTTGGAGATAATTCCTTGTAACTTTAAATATAAATCATTTAAATGTAAATTAATAAAATTTTAATTTTCCATTAGTGGCTATTCCAGAAAGTACTTTAATTAATTTTAATATTAATATTAATCTTTGTAATCTGAATGACCATGTCCTGCTATACAGAAACAGGTTCTCAGTCATCAAAATCATTTTTTAGTTTGGTTGTTTCTCAGTATACTCTTATCTACAATCTACCTCTACTGAAACTCATTCATTGGCTGCTGATACCTCTTCTAATTATGATCAGATGTTGAGATTTGAATCTTATCAATGGAATTATCTGGTTATTCCTTCCACTTCTGATAACCTAACTTCTTGTGTGCCAATAAAAATTTTTTATATATGGGAAATCAGAACAGGTTTCCTAGAGGTTTCCAGTACATGCCAACCTCTACCTGCCAACCTCAGACTCTTGTTCTGCTGCATCACTACCCTAGTTCCAGAGACACAGTGGGATAGAGATGACAGAGATCTTGGGGACAGGTCCAGATTAGGATAGTTTGGCATTTGGCCCTCTGAAATTACCCTAAAACATCTCATTTTCTTCCTGAGTAAATACTAAACAGGAAAAAATATATAAATGAAAATTTTTTATCATGATTTCCTAGGTTATAAATGAAACTTAAATCTGGAATTATGGGGGTATATGCCAATATTAAAAATAAAAGAATATATATTCTAAATAGAAAAAAGCTATACCACTAGAAGATATACATGGAAAACCTTAAATTGTTGGAATAATTCATCAAACTCTACTATTAATAGAAAACTTGATTTGAAGCAAATACCATGATGTGTTCTCTTATATAGAAAATGACTGCAAAATTAATCAACCTAGGGTGGATGTGTACACAAAATCCATCCAGTATGAATATCTACAGGTCTTTATTACTTATGAAATGATACAGATGTTAAATCTACAAGATAATAACTTTAATTCTTTTTCGGGTCAGTTTACTAAATTTTAACTATATTATTTGTGTTCTTACATTAAAATGTAAATAGCTCCTAAAATAGTCGTAAAAACCTAGTCTTTAAAAATGTTTTCAACAATAATCAGTTAATTTGTAGGCACGAAGATCTGTTTTTTTAAAAAGTGGACTTCCAAAATTTCATTTCACAGAAAATGAATCTTAGTATTCTTTTAAGGATTCCATATAAGTAAAATTGTTTGAAATTATCTTTATGTAATACTTATGGTATGTCATAAGACTTTAAAAGAGATTGGTTTTGAATGGAAGATAATAAAACTTACCATTCTCCAAAGCTGTATGATTGGAAATGTGGCTCTTGTCAATTTGATGTTCTGTTGCCACAGAAGAAAATTCAATGTTTCCAGTATTCAAGATTGCAGCGAGTATACTGTATATGCTTCCAAGTTGCTGAAACACACCACAGAAACATTAACATTTTCTCCCCTTGAGTATAGCAAGGCAGTGACTATAGCTGGGGACAGACTGGGGAAGAATCCTTAGACTCCAGCATAAAAATGTCATCCTGCAGACTATGATGGCAGACTAAGAGATCCAACTAGTCAAGGATACAAGTAGGCTCCATCCCATTAGTTATTTTAATTTTAGAGGTGAGCTCAGTGCCTGTTAACCAGTAAGTGCCTAAAAATATTTTACGAATGCAAATGTAAATAAAAAATAGAAACGAGGAGCTCTCCACAGAGAAATTAGAAATAACTCATTCATTAGGCCGTAGATATCTATAAATGTGAAACTTAACTTTAGAACTTAGTGTGGTTGTTATCATATGTACATTTTTTTTGAGCCCATATTAAAAGTGAGGCTATATGTGTGGATAAAAGAGAGTCAAGAGATAAAAATCAAAAAACCCTAGCACATAAATCAAAGGGTTTATGTAAAGTATAGGCATGAGAACTTTGGACTTCAGTTTAAAGTTTATAGTAGTTGTTACTTCTTTAACATAAATTCCTAATAAGGTACATCAAAAATATATTCAGAAACACATATGCACATATATGTGATTATTCTTGGAGGCAATGAAGACATTTTGGCAAGGAGTCTATGGCAATTTAAGGTGTTATTTCCAATTAAGCTCATGGTGCAGTGAGGTACAGGAAAGAAAAGGAACCCTTTATTGTCTTCTCAAGTTTCTAACCCAGATCTTACACTTAACACAAATAATTATCACATCCACTCTAACATACCAAGTCAAGATAAAAGCTGGATATGAAAAAAACTCCAGGGACATTTATTTATTTATTCATATATAACATATATAAATATATATTTAATGAATACATACATATTTAAATAAATAAATATATTTGTTGAATGAAGATATATATATGTGAATCTATTCAATTATCTAATAAGCATATATTTTATGCCAGGCTCTGTTCCAGTCACAGGGGATTCAGTAGCAGGAAGACTAAAGATCCTTGTTTCCTTGGGTGTTCAGGCTGTTGGATGGCAGACAGTAAGAAAATAAGCAAATAAATAAACGTGACACCTTCAGAAAAAAATTGAAAGGCCTATGAAGAAAATAAAATGGAGAGATGCAAAAGAGAGTGACTGGAAAGATAAGGGGTGGCTTTTTCAGTTTAGCAGGTCAGGGAAAGCTGCTCTCTGAGGAGGTGACATTGAAGCTGAGGCCTCAGTGATGGGAAGGAGCCAGCCATGAAAAGAACTGGAATCAGACTATGCTAAGCAGAGGAAACAGCAAGGGCAAAAGCCTTTCTTGAGGAAAGAAGGAAGATCGGCTTGGGGCTGAAGGACGGACAGGAAAGGAGGAACAGTGTAAAAGGAGTCAGGGAGGTGAGCATGGGCAAGCTCACCTAGGCCCTCTTGGCCAACAGAAAGAGTTTGGATTTCATTCTAATTGCCTAAAAAGCCACTAGAAATTTCAAAGCAAGGAGTGGCATAAATTTGTTTTATTTTAAACTGATGAGTCTGACTATTACGTGGAAATGAAGGGACAGGGGTAAGATGGAAAAGTCAGGAGGCAACTGCAATAGTCTAGATGAGAGATGATGGTGGCTTGGACTAGTACAGTAAATGGTAGACATGGGAAGAAGTAAGTGAATTTGGGATATATTTTGGAAGCAAAACAATATTTATGCTGATGGACTGCAAAACAATATTTATGCTGATGGACTGGATGTGAATCACTTTTCTAAGAAAATTCTCCTGGTAAGGAATTACAATTTGTAACATGCATAACTTACAATGAAGCAACCAGCACGGGCTTTTGTTGCTCTCAGGTGGAGAAATTAATACAGTATCTGACACTCTGCTGTATTTTTCTTAAGGAAACTTTAGGCCTTATGGATCTATACCAGACATATTTCTTTCAATAGTTTGTCAAAAACTGTCTTCCTTCAAAACTTTGTGTTTGTTATTTACAGACTAGAAAGGTCAAGTGTATAAGCCTCCGAAGTTGTATTTTTAACAGCACTTAGACATTTGTTACAGAGAATCATATGCTGAATCAGTGGACATTCAATTCCTACTCAACTGTTTGTGAGAATGACTGCCTCATCTTTCTAGACTGCGCTGCTCTCCCTGATATTCTCTAATTACAACATTCATTTGGATTGAAGCTGAAGTCTCAGAAGACAGCAAACCAGGGCCCTGGCTCTGTTTGGCTTGGCAGCTAGATTGATGTGCCTCAAAGGAGCCTGACTACAGGCCTAGTCTCAACCAAGGCAGCTGCTGAGTTATTTGTGGTATGAAGACTCGTCATCTCTACTGCTTGTCATCTCCAAAGAGCCCAAAGTAATTTTGTGTTTAATGGCTAACAATAGTAAACAAAATAATATATAGATACCTTTTACATATAAAGCGAACAAAGCACAAGGCAATCTAACAACTTTTTCATGAACTTTGAATTTGCATGCTTAAAATTTTTTTTTATTGAAACGTATTGATTGTACATATTTATGGGGTACAGAGTTATATTTCAATACATGTATGCAATGTGTGTTGATCTATTCAGGGTTATTAGCCTATTCATCATTGCAATACTTAATCATTTCTTTGTGATGAGCACATTTGATCTCCTCTCTTCTTGTCATTTGGTTACATGCAGTAAAACATTATTGATTATAGATTTCTGGATCAATTGAATACCAGTTGGGCTTATTTTTCCTATCTCACTGTATATTTGTGTCCATTAATCAACCTTTCACTATCCCTCATCCCTCTTCTCTTTCCTGCCTCTGGTAACCATAGTTCTTCCCTTTCCTTTTAACAATTCTACTTATTATTATAATCACTTATTTGTTTTTGTTTGATTGCTTATTTTGTTTTGTTCTGTTTTTTTTAGCTCTCACATATGAGTGAGGTCATGTGGTATTTCTGTTTCTGTGCCTGGCTTATTTCACTTAACATAATTTTCTCTAAGCTCATCCATGCTGCTGCAGATTCTTTTTATGGCTGAGTAGTATTCTGTTGTGTATATATACCACATTTTTTTTTTAGTCCAATTATCTGTCAGTGGACATTTAGGTTGGCTCCACATGTTGGCTACTGTGAACATAGCTGCGGTGAATATGGGGGTGCAGGTATCCCTTTGACATGATGCTTTTCATTGCCTTGGGTATATACCCAGTAGTGGGATTGCTGCATTGTATAGCAGTTCTATCTGTAGTTGTCTGAGAAACCTCCAGACTGTTTTCCATAATGGCTGTGCTAATTTACTATCCCACTGATAGAGTTTAGAATATGTTGTTCCCCCAAAGCTCAAGTCAAAATATGATCCCCAACTTGGCAATGTTGGGAGGGGTTTCAGTTATGGGGGGTGGATCCCTCATGAATAGATTAATGCCCTCCCTGGGGGGGTAAGGTTAGTGAGTGAATTCTCACTCTATTAGTTTCTGTGAGAACTGGTTGTTTTTAGGACCCTGGCACCTCCCACTTGCTCTCTCTTGCTTCCTATTTCCATGTGATCTTGCACCCACTGGGTGCCTGTCACTTTCTGCCACAAGTGGAAGCAGGTTGAGGCCCACACCAGATGTAGCTATCTCAAAATTGTGAATGAAATAAACCTCTTTTCTTTATAAATTACACACTTTCAGGTATTCTGTTAGAGCAACACAAAAATGGACTAATACAGAAAATTGGTAGTGAGGAGTGGGGTGTTGCTATACAGATTTCTGAAACTGTGGAAGTAGCTTTGGAACTAGGTAATGGGCAAAGGTTGGAGAAGTCTGGAGGACTCAGAAGAAGACAAAAAAATGAAGAAAAGTTTGGAACTTCTTAGAGACTGATTGAATGGTTGTGACCAGAATGCTGATAGAAATGTGGACAGTAAAGGCCACGATGATGAACTGAGGAACTCACTAGGAACTGGACAGAAGATCACCCTTGCTACACCTTAGCAAGAAATTTGGTTGCATTGTGTCCATGCCTTAGGCCTTTGTGGAAGGTGGGACTTAAGTATTGTGAACCAGAATATTTGGTAGAAGAAATTTCTAAGCAGCAAAGCTGCATGGCTACTTGTAACAGCCTACACTCAGTTATGGCAAAAAAGGCATGACATAAAGCCAGAATTTATAATTAAAAGGGAAGCAAAGCTTAAAGATTTGGAAAAATTTGTATCGTGGTCCTATGGTAGAGAATGACAGAGCATTTTCAGAAGAATCCAAAGGTGTGGCAGATGGACTGACTGCTAAAGACATGGCTATGAGTCAGCTAGATGCTAATAGCCAGGACAATGGGAGGAAGGCCCTGAAGGCATTTCAGAAGTCTCCAGGTGCCACCTCTCCCATTACAGACCTTGAAGCTTAGGAGAATTGAATTGTTCCAGGGGACAGATCTGGGATGCAGCTGCCCTGCACTGCCTCGGGCCACTGTTTCCAGCATCCAGCTGCTCTGGCTGGAGCAGCCTTGTCTAAAGTGGCCCCAAGTGTGGTTCATGCCACAGCTCTAGAGAGTACAAGCTGGAAACATTGGCAGCTTCCATGTTGTGTTAGGTCTACAAGCCAGGAGAATGCAAGAGCAGCAGAGGAGTAGAGGCCTCCACCCAGATTTCAGAGGATGTATGAAAGGGCTTGGGTGCAGAGCCACTGCAGAGGGCATCTACTAGAGTAATGCAAAGCCAAAATGTGGGATATGAGCCCCCACCAGGGCAATGTCTAGTACAGCCATGGCAGCAAGGCTGCTGCCAGTGTCCCAGAATAGTAGGGCCACTGGCAATGTGCAATGCCTGCCTAGAAAAGCTGCAGGAACCAGTGCAGCCTAGTGTGCTATGCCCAGTAGACCCATGGGGGTGGGGCTGCAAATCCCCACTGTGCCCAAGATGTAGGACTTGGAGTATAAGGAGATTATTTTGGAGCTTTAAGATTTAATGTCACCTAGGCAGGAGCTGTGGGCTGCCCCCACTGCCCAGCAGAAGGCAGAAGCATGCCTGG